GCAAGGGTGAGGGAGGATGAGAGGAGATGGGGTGTGAGAACAGAAGAACATCCTATTCAACTTTATTTATAAATGATCAGGAGAAAGGGGTAAACAGTCAGGTGGCAAAATTTGCAGATGATACTAAACTGCTCAAGATAGTTAAGACCAAAGCAGACTAGGGATGTAAGCAACTAGTTGACTATCCGATAAGCAAATGCAAGGAGCGGGGGAGCAACTGATAGAGGCAGCAAGGGGGGAGGAAGCGACTAGTTGAGGGACTAGTTGACTATCCGATAAGCTTTTGCTGATTGGATAGTTGAATAGTTGCTTACATCCCTTGTCTGGATTGCAAATAAACATTTATCTGCAGTGCTTTTAACAGTAGTGGAGTAAAAAAACAAAAAATTAAGCCTTTTTATTGGTTTTGAATTGTATAGCAGGTGCTACCAGGCTCACATTGAGGTTGGCTGACACTTCCATGCAAGCAACTGAAAAATTTTCAGTTACTTAAAACTTTGACATACTGTTTGGGCTGCAATTTTCCGTGCCAGGTATCTCTCAGACAAGATTTAAAAAAAAAAAACCAAACCTTTAGCCCCTCTCTTTGAAGCCCCAACTGTTTCCTGCTGTCTTACCCACTTAGTTTGAAGCAATAGGGCTTCTACAACTTGCACTGTGGAGAGACTTTATTACTGAAGTGGCACTCAGGGCATTGGGTTCTTTGAAAAAAATGTGTGGAGAGTGCTGGTAAGGCCAAATCAAGTTTGCTGAGACAGTGAATTACTTCCGGTTCGAGTAGCTACTCTGTGACTGTATATTCTAGGAGTCGGCAGCCTTTCCGAGTTGGAGTGCCTTGTTTTGACTTATTCACCTCTATGTATAGGTCTGAGTGCCGGTGATATTTTTTCAAGTCAATAATAGTCTTTCTTACAGCAAGTTCATTGATAAATAAAGATGCAGATCTTACCTTTTGGGGGAAGGGGTCCAGCAGCCTTTCAGAAGTGGTGTACCCAGGTTTAACTTATTCATGGATCTGTGTGCTGGGAGATAAAGGGGAGGTGGGAGGCAAGAGCAGGCTGGGTATGGTGACCTTATTTTCTGAACCAGCTGCAGCTAGGGAGAATGGTTTAATTTAAATTATGAAACAGATGAAGTGTTTTAATTTTCTTATGTTTATCCAACTTCATTTAAAATGAAGTAAAATATTATGTCCAACACAAAAGGTTTCAATGTTTTCTTTATGGCAGGGGGGGGGGACCTTTTTTGGATCAGGGGTCACTGACCCACAGAAAAATCAGTTGGGGACCACACAAGTCAGAAGCAAAAAAAACTCCTCAAAACCCCAACCCTCACTGATGTGGCCCCAACTGAGACACCTCACTCCTCTGGTGCCCTTCCCTCGTGTATGGGGAAGGGGGGGTCGTGAACTGAGGTTCAGTTTTTCCCATACGACAGATTTACTTTCCTGGGGTTCCAGAGTTAGTGGATTTTATGGACCTTCTTAGGCTGTGGGATAGGGACAAAAATGAGGGGTACAGTGTGCAAGACAAGGCTGCCAGCAAGGATAGGGATGAGGTGCAGGATCTGGGAGGAAGGTAGGGAAGTTTTGTGGTCTGGGTAGAGGGTAGGGTGTCTGGCCAGGTGGAGGGAGTAGGAGCAAGGTAGGGTGTAGTGTGTGGGCAGAAGAGGGTGCAGGAGCAACGTGGATGAAGGAGCAGTGTGGGGTGTCTTTCCAGGAGAGAGGACACAGGAACAAGGGTGTCAGAGCAAGCTGGGGGGGGAGAAATGGGGGGTCTGGGAATGAGAGTAGGGGACCTTTCCTGGCCTCATGCACGTGTGAGGGAAGCCCTGCTGCCAGGGCCCATGTGGTCCAGGCCCAGCCCAGGAGGCCCCCCTGCCTCTGGTCTGGGTCCAGCTACGTAGGTGCAGCCCACATGGACCAGAGACCGGAGGCGCCAGTGCTAGGCAGTCCTGGGTTGGCCCCAGACCACGTGGCCGCAGTGCCTGCAGTCTCCGATCCTGGACAGACACTGCTGAGGAGATCTTGTGCTGTCTCCTTCCACTGCATCCTGGCCTGCAGCAGGGAGGAGGGAGCGCTCTCCAGCGGCTGCATGGGGGAGGAGGAGTGGGGCTGAGCTCCCTCCCACATGCCACTGAAAATCGGCTTGTGTGCCATAAGTGGCACATGTGTTGCAGGTTGCTGTCCACTGGTATATTCCAATGCAGAGAGTTTTGTGTATCATTTGGTTGGATATTTTCAGATAGACCCTACATCACAAAGGATATGTAAAAGCTTGTTCATGAGTCCCCACTATAAACATTTAAATAGGGAGGGAAGGTTGAACCGTTGTACAATGTGCCCAGAAGGGGCACTCAGTGTTAGGATATCTCCTTTAAGTTGCTTATCTTAACATGTTTTTATTTGGCTTGGGGAGGGGACCACCTATACCCTAGCATTAGCCAGTAACACTGAGCAATATCTACTTATGTGACAGTTACAGTATTCATCTAAATCTTTTTTTCTCTTTGCAGGCTGCTGGCATGTGTTAGTGTTGGACCTCACATCTAATTTTGCAATGGACTATTATGCGGAGTTCAATAAAATAAACCAAACATAATTGTCCAGTTATTAAATAGGAAAAACAACTAGGCTCATGACTTTCCAGCTCTTAAAAGTATAATGCTTTTGTGAGGTAGAGAGTGATCTTGGACTTTATCACATTTGTATTGAACAGGTAACTAGTGAAGGAACATCAAGGTATTTAACAGAGCTCTAAAGGCTCTCTTGCTGACAGGTGGAGTAATGGTAGAAAGCAGCTGTATTATCAAAACAGGTCCTGAAAATAAATTAAGGTATGTCAAACACTAAGCTTTAATAGTTAGGACTCCTAGGCTATGTCTACACTTGCAGCTTCCTGTGCGAGTAATATGCAAATGAGGCTAAGCATGGAATATTCCAGGGGCAGCTCTGGCTCCATGGCAAACAAAGGGATCAGAAAAACCTTCCCCTCACCAAAAAAACCCCAAACTGCTGTGCTGTCCCAGGAAGCAGGGCACTCACAGCAAGCACTGCAAAACCTTTCCTGAACCTCTAGGAGGTAAGCAAGGCAGCTGCAGCAGCAGAGCAACGGCTGGTCGGGGGGGGGGGGGGGGGGGTCCTTTCTCCATACCCAAGCCCCACTGCTAGGGGGAGAGTTGGCAGGCTCAACTATTGCTGCCCTATCACACACCCACCCTCATTCTTAAGGCCATGTCCCTTGGGTGAGGGAGGTTGGGTTGATGGTTAGTGGACACGTTTCACCTGGGACTGCCAGACCAGATTATGCAATTGCTAGGGCCAGAGAGAGCCCTCCCACTGGGAGTTTGAGACCCCTGCTGTAGATGGAAGCTGAGGGCTTTCTTTGTCAGGTATTCAGACATTCCAAACTTATATAATTCCAGCTTCTTCATGTTTCATGGATATATGTGAGGTCCTGATTGTTTCACTTTTCTAATCACCCAAGAACAAAGCAGCTATTTCTGACCACCTCTCAACACATTGTTGCTGTATTTGTCCTTAAAGGCCATTCTTCTGTACATTAGGACCTCTTGGAAGGGGGTAGGTAACCGTGTGACTGACAATGGGAGATCCAAGACAGATGCTGGGTAGCTCTAAGGATGACATCTGGAATCTCCCAGGAACCAAACTAAGGGTTGTAACTCCATTTAAGAACTAACCCTTCAGGGTAGAGTGAACATAGCACCATGGCTCTCAACTCCAGCATTGCTGATTGGATAATTGCGCTTTTCCCCATCCAGTCACAGTTGTGATTCATTCTCACTTCTAATGCCCTTCTTTACTGCCACTTCAGTAATAAAGTTGTGGAAGCCCTACTGATTCAAACTAAGCAATAGAGGTTCAGCATTTTAAAAGTATTTTGCACTACATGCCTCTTCTTTCAACCCTAGTCACGTGACAAACTGCACAAGCTTCCTTTCACATACCTCACTTGCATTAGTCTCAGTCCTGCAGCAAAGCATGAGTGGACAATGCCTGGTCAGGTAATGGAAACCCTATGCAGGAAACCCTACTTCACCAATAAAGTTCTAGATACAAAAATGGAAATATTTTATGTACTAAAGCTAAATTTTTCAGGTCTAGCTTTTTTCATGCTCATTCTCTTTAAAGGACTTAAATGCAGTTTGTTTTGGTAAGTGTGCTTAACAAATACAGTTTGACTTACTGATAGTTTTAATCAGCAGTTAAATGTAAATCATTGCTTTACTATATGCATATTTAAAGAACATATCAAATTTAGCCTAGAATTTAAGATTTTTAAAAGATAGTAAACTTCATAAGAAATTAACAGATTTCCAAAATCATAAATTAACCAGAAATTTCATGGGATCATTTTAAGATGTGTAGGGTATTTTAACATTTTACTTGTTTGGGCCATCCTCATTATTTAACCTTTAGAGGAACCTACTTTCCCCATGATGGGTGAGAATTTAAGGCTCAAAATGCTGTTTGAGTTTAAGTGCACTCAAATGCAAGTCACCCTTCCCCTCAGCTTGGAGGGACATTACATTTACTTTTTCTTAATTTCTAGGACGCTGTCCTTTTCCAACAACTCTCAAGGTCAATCCCCTGGGACAATCTAGGCACCCTGACCTACCTCCTCAAAATCATCTCCCATTTTAATCAGGCTGTGTATTCTCGGCTACCGTAGTAGTAGTCTCTTGTATTGATCCCTTCTCTTCCCTCCTCCATGCTAACTAACTCTACCCTTTTGTTTTGTGTCTGTTTTTTAAGTGAGGTGAAACTTGGGAGGTACACTAGTCAAATCTGAGTCCAGAAAGGCTGAGAGTCAATGAGCTAACAGCCTCACCACTCAACCCCTGCAGCAGATACAAACTTCTGTATATCCTCAGCTACTACCAAAGTATCATAATTCCATAATACTTGGTGTGGGTTACAACTGCAACATCTTACATGCAAAAACGTGACAAATCAAATAATGAAAGCTTTATAGCCTTGCAGCTGTAAATACAGAATAAGGCTTTGTCAGCTAAGGTAAAGCTATAAAACTTCAACATCTTTAGGCAAAAAAGTGAACAAAAAAGTAAAAGTATTCAAAACGTGAGATGTTTCTCAGAACTAGAATGAGAAAATGGATTGTCTGATTAACTACAACCCATCCCCTCAACAAAATATTCCTGGAAGATAGGATTAAGGGGAAAAATCAGCACACGTTTTTAAAAGAGGGTGGAAAGACAGCAGGGTTCATAAAATGGAAATTTGTTTCTCTGCTTAATTATAAAGCAATTGCAACTCCATAATACAGTACTTGCATTCTAAAAATAATTGTAATGAGCCAAAATTTTGAGGTATTTTTCTCACATGTATGAGGAAGAGGTGTGACCAGGAGGGAGGTGGGGAACAACAAGGGAGTCTCCCCACCAGTATTATCCCTGTCCATTCCTTTTCAAACTTTCCTACTATTCTGTAAAATGAGGGTGAAAAATGTATTGGGTAGGAAAAAGATAGTCTAGACATGGTAGAAAGAGTAGATTTAGGAGGAATTGGCTAAGTGGAATAAAAAAGGGCAATTTGAAAAAGAAATGAGAATATTAATTTGATTACGCTCAATTCACATTAGTCCACTCGTTTTTTGTAAAACTTCTCTCCCTTAGCTTTCTCACACACTCTCCAAACCTATTTATTTTCTCCCCACCCGTTTCTGCTTGTCAAGTAGAGGCATTACCACTATATTACATATAATATGGCACGGGTGGCCAACCCATTTAACAGAGCCAAAACTGCAGCGGAAAAAATGTGAAGAGCCACACCAGAATTGTCAAGCATTAAAAAAAGGCCCCCAGAACAGAATTGTCAAACAAACAAACAAATTTTTTTTTTTTATATATAAAAGGAGCCTGCCCCTTTAAGAAAGCTACTACCTTGGACACCATTTTTAAAACTCCGCAGCTCCAACCCGGTAAGCACAGGGAAGCCGGGGTGGGAGGGAGCTGGTGGGCAGTCCGTTGAGTGGGGGGGGGACGCACAGGAGCGGCTTTGCGAGACGCACTTGTAGGGGGCAAGAGCCGCACGCAGCTCACGAGCCGCAGGTTGGTCATGGCTGTAATATAAAGAAAGATGACTGGGTGGGGAGAATTGTCTCCCCTATTAATTCTGAGGGATAGCCATGTTAGTCTGTAACTTTAAAAACAATGAGCAGTCCTGTGACACCTTAGAAACTGACATCATGAGTTTCTGTGGGTAAAACTCACTTCATCCTATTCATTGTTAGGAGAAAACTGTGCATGAACAGTTTAAAACAGTGATAAACTGTATTGTTCTTCATACTAAAATACTGATTTCATTTCTGTTTAGAGGTTCCTAGCATGTTTTTTCTCAGGGTTGGAGCTGGTTTCTTTTTCAACAACATGAAAAATTAATGCCCTTCTCTTGTAACATACACAATAAAACATGCACAAAATATTTTTAGTCTTTATTATAAAATATCAAAAGTATAAAACTGTACAAAATATAAAGGCAGAATGTGGCAGTGATTTTTTTTAGCTGTCAAAGTTGTAATTGCTTCCTGCTGCAGGTCAACTGTTTCACATATTTCATTTCACTGTATCTGTATTAGAGTCTGACCGCTATCTAGCGCTGAAAGAAGGTTTAATTGAAGTACGAGTATCATACCAACTCAGCTACTGAAACAGGGACTCAAAGTTAATGTAGTTTCCAAGCTTTTTCCCCCTAAATATATGCTCTTAAAGGCGAGCTCCCTGCTGATGAAGTTTCTGCACTTGTTGAAAAGCTGCTGCCTTTGTGAGGGAGGGTGTCCCCTAGCTGCTTTACCTTAGAAACATCAAATCTTACCTTCCTTGTTTTTATTAAATTACTGTGTTTGGCCTGTGAGCGCTAATTCCCTAAATGAAGTGATGCAGATGGTGACTAGAGCTTTCCTCCCGGGTAACCTGCAAAAGATTGAAAAATTGGGCGTGTGTCTTTTTGCTGCTTCAACTGTTATAGAAAACACAAGAAGGGATTAAAAAAAGAATTTGCCACTTGTTTTTTCACCTTAGAAATACCAAGAATCTCAGGACTGCTAGTTTTGCAGGAAGGGTTGCAAGTGATATCAGTGATGATTACTGGGAGAAGATTACCTTAACAGAAGGGATCAAGGATGAATCTTAGCAAAAGGCTTCTTATAGAAGAATGTAAATAAACCTTAACTTTCAATCATTTCAATTTTTTTTCTACTTCACTTCTCTCAATTTTCTAGATTCTGCAGATCCTGAATTTCCCAAACATAAGCAGATTTAAATATAACATTTTTTCAAACTGTCATAAAATGGCATATGCCCACTCTTGTTCCTTTATCGAGCACTTTTTAAATAGGTGATAAAAGTACTTTCAGTTATTCCAAAGTCCCTTCTGACTTCTCCCATACAAATGCTTAGTTTTTATGCCTTGAGTAACTTGCAAGTCATGATTTTTTCAGCCACTCTGGAAAATGCAGTGATGAGAAAAAGCTGCATTTCTAGGGTATAAAACAAGCAAAGAAGTTCAAACATTTTTCATTATACATCAAAGAAATAAAGGTAAAACAAATGGCTTCTACCACAAGTAGGGAATGGAAAGGTAATGTACTGGCCCTCAAATACTTTTTACTCAGCACAGGTTATGAGGAGTTCTCCTAAATTCATCTCTTCTGAAATCATCTGAATAATTTTTGCCTGTCAGACTGATTAAAAGTTTACCAACAGTAACCTAAGCGCTTTTTAAAAAAACTGTTCAAGAACACATACTGAGACCCTTAACTTACCAAAAATTGAAGTTTTAGCAGAGTCCATTACTATTTCTCCTGGTAGGGAAGAGATGCACATTTCCATAATTATTTTTTATAAAAAAATCCCACCATAACAATTCCTTCCCTTAAAACTGTGATACCTTCTCAATTTCCAGCATTTTCAAATGGAGGCTACATATGAAACAGAAAACACTGCTTGGATCTTAATTTACAGTTTTGCCCACCAACTGGATAATGCTGTCCATTTGTAGAAGATACTTCTCCTTGTTTCAAATTCTGTAGTAATCCTGAGGTCCTTACTGCATTGACTCGCACAGTCTTACAGCTTCATGGTTTATTGTGGACTATATGCTCCTGAAGCTAGTAGCAAGTTTCTACGGGTAAAATGGAGGTGTATGACTGGGGTTGATTTGGTCATATATGTACCCAAAAGCAAGTCCTGTGAATTTTCAGGCAGATTTATATGTCCAGTGGCTGTAGTAAAATCATCAGTTTCTAAGTCTTCAAATACTTTCACAGCATCCCATAGCCGGACTGTGTTATCCATTGAGCCTAGGAAGAAAGCGAGGAGTTACAATTTAATGTTTTTTCTATCAGATCATCTTTAAAAGCAATACTTAGTCTAAAAGTCAGCGATATTCTCCAGTATGCAATTACCAAAGCTATAGTTGCACAGACTGAACGGTGATGAAGTTATTCTGAAAGAGCTGCAAGGTAAGGCAATAAAATTAAAGCTAATAAAACTATTTATGAAACTCACCTTGTTCCTGCCTTTGCTTGATTGCTCATAACATTCAAAATGTAAGGCCCAATGCTGCAAACAAACTGACTTCAATAGCAATACCCACAATAGTACAGTTTAGCATGTAATAAGTATTTGCAGGATGGGGCCTTAGCACAGTCCAATATAAGAGCTTTCTGCAAGTAGAGCAGAAAGAACTACTTAGTTTCAGACCTAGTGTTGGATGACTTTATAAATAGGCTCTAGAATGAGTGTCTTACTAAAGTCAAATTAGCAATACACTTCTAATTAATACAATTTTTTGTATTTATTATATATAGTTATTAGATTCAAAGAACTTTGAAATTACAAAGTTAAATGCTCAATTAAATCAGATTCTCTCACCCTTCATGGACTTCTGCAGGGAATGTGGACTAGAGGGAGCGCCTATGCCTTGTCCCCAATCCCACTCTCCTGATCCCCCTCCGCTCCAGTTCCCATTCCAATCACTCCTCTCTCTTACCCCTACAATCTCCAATTCCTTTCCCCTTGCACTTTATCTCTTCCTTGCAATCCCATTCTTCAGCCCCTGGCACTAGCCTCCCGCAGCTGAGAGGAGCAATTGCAAGAAAAGTCCTGCTCGGCTCCTGCAGCCCCAGGATGGAGCATACTCAGTTGTGATAGCATATGCCGTCTGCTCAGTGCACACGAGCTGTGGGGGATGGAACATGCTCAGTACAGAGGGAATCTTTGGAGAATAATGCTCCCAAGCTTCTAGCATACAAACAGCATGTACAAACTGAGATTTTACAGAGGGTTATAGCTTGGCAAAATTAAGACGAATTTTCACAGGTATGGCAAAAACCGACTCCCTGCCAAATACCAAGATCTTCTCCAAAGCATAGATGGACTAATGCTTCTCAGTGAAATAACTGTAAACATTTTAACACAGGCTAAGCAAGTTTTCCCCAACCTAATTCCTATAAACACCACCATTTTCACCGACAATGGTCAGCCTGAGGAGAGAGGCAGCATGGAAAAGTTGAGCTTGAACAATTAAAGACTGGCAACATGATAAGCAAGTGGGTTTTATGATGAAAAGAGTTAGGCAATCTTAACTATAGCTAATGCTACCAGCTATTTAAATTTTTGTTTTAACAAATGTGACCACCAGGGCTTTTCTTAGAGGGGGGTGCCAGGCCCAGGACAAATCAGCTTTTATTTCTAATCTGCTGGAGTGTGCTTCCTTCTGGCTCCGCCCTCCCACATGCCACCCCTTGGTCAATGCCTGGCCTCTTCTTGCCCAGTTCTGCCTCCTCCCCTGAGCACTCTGCTCCTCATCCTTTCTCCCTCCTTGCCAGTGCCTCCAATGCTGATCCACAGCAGTAGGCAGGCACTGGGAGCAGGGCCATCCATAAGTTTTATGGGGCCCTATACAGTACAATTAACCTAGCGGCCCTATGCCCAATGGCAGCCCAGGGAGATGGAATGATGATTTTTTTGAGAGATGTGATTTTATAACTTTCAGCAACGCACTTATGAAATATTTTTAAAGCAAATTTTAAATTCGGGTCCTGTGGAGCAGCAGTTCCCAACTGCCATAGCGGGCCACGGACCTCTGGCTGCTGGGCCGTGGCAGCTCTGGGGGCTGGGGTACACTGCTCTCGCCACGTGTCCTTCCCCACCTGTCAGCCAACCAACACTAGGCAGGGCAAGGTCTCCTCCCACTGCACAGGGAAGTGCTCTTCCGCAGCTGGGAGGAGACCCCCCACACCGCGCGGCCATCCCACTGTCCAGCGAGCCTCTTTTCCATGGCCGGAGGAGACCCCGTCCCTGCCCGGCGCTGGTTGGCTAAGAGGTGGGCTAGGACATGCCTCTCCCAACACCAGCGTCAGGAGGGGAGGCACTTGGCAGTGTACCCCAGTCCTGGCCACCAGAGCCTCCACCACATGGGCAGCAGCACAGCGCTAGATGAGAGGGGTGGGGAGCTCTGGGGGCTGAGCTGGTGGGGGAGGGAGGCTATGGGGGCAGGACTGGCACTGGGGGACTCTGGGACAGGGACTAATTTTGGAGTCTGGCATCGGAGGAAGCTCGGGGGGGGGGCGTTGGTTGCAGTGGGGCTCTGGAAAGAGGAGGCTGGCACTGGGGGATCTGGTGGAGGGGAGCTCTAATTCACTGTACCCAAAGGGACAGCTCTGGAGACTAAACACTGCTGAGCATGCATGTTCTTTACATACCCAGTAATTAATAAAGAATAAGATGCACTTAACCTTGAAATATTGCCCGTTTTTTTTACTTATTCAGAAAGTTCCAGGTACATTTTGTGCTGGCCACTACCTGGAGTCTCATACAACCCACTTAACATCTGCAAAAGAAGTATTCTGAAACTCCACTGAAGCAACAGCTGAATTATGAGAAGGTTTAAAGGAAATTCACTTGCTAATTAAATTAACTCAAGAAAATTAGTTTGACACAGAAAATAATCATCAAGTTTCAACAGGTGCTCAGTCTCAGAGGAGGGATGGTCTGAGGGTTACAGCACTATACCAGACTGTTTCCCATTTTACCACGGTATTCTGAAGGTTCTTTGCATAAGTTATGCCTCAATTCTGAAGCTATTTTTCAAGGTTGCAGATACTAAATTGTGTAGTATAACTTCCTAGCAGCAAAGTATTGGTCAGTAAGGCTATGTCTAGACAGAGGGATGCAAATCAAGCACATCGAAATTGCTAATGAAGCAGGGATTTAAATATCCCGTGCTTCATTAGCATAAACATGGCCATCACTTTTTTCCAAAATGGAGTTTTTCCGACAAAAATTGGCCATCGCTTTTTTCCAAAATGGAGTTTTTTCGACAAAAATGGCAGTCTAGACACAGCTCTGTCGAAAATAAACCCTTTTTCGACAGATCCTGTATTCGTCAAAAAATGAGCGGTAGTCTGAACCTTCACAGTGAGAAGGAAGACAGATTTGGATTGCTGTCAGTCACACAAAAACACCACCATTTTAGTTCAAACTCCTTTTTTTCAATGACAAAGTCCAGCCTACATACCTGATGCTAAAATTTCCCCATCTCGACTGAATCTGAGTGCATAGATTGTATCAGTATGCCCTTTCAATTCTCCCGCCATCAAACCATGGCCAATATCCCAGAGAAGCACCCTTCCATCTGTTGCTCCAGTAGCCAGGAATCGTCCATTAGGAGAAAATGCTAATGAATGAATTGGTCCCTGTAACAGAAAAATCCAGTTGGAGAGTCATAATTATCAGATAAATCTATTTACATTCAAAAGAATTAGGCTGTATTCATTTCAAACTTAGGCCCCCAAAATTAAATATTTTTAACGTACAATAACTGAGCCATTGGTCATCTTTTTCTTTGCAGCAGTCCTACCTAAATTGCTTGGATTCTAAGAGATTGCCTTTTTTCTTGGGCCATATTATCACAGTTATGATCAAAAGAGGCATTCAAGCCTGATCCCTTTTAAGAAAGTGGGGTCTTCTCTAAAAGGAGGCCAAAACTTTTAAACCTATTCCTCACTTGATCCAAAATAATCTGAAATGTATTAACCTTCATAGCGTACCATTTAGATGTGCTTAATGGGAACAAATGTTTATAAGGGAAGGGAGTTTTGTTTTAGAGGGGAAATTAGTCAAAGTATCTAGAGCAGTGGTAGGAAACCTGAAGGCTATTGGGGTTCTATGTGTGGCCCTCAAGACTTTTTGTTTATTGTTCCCCACACGAAGGGTTGCCAGATTCTGCTGATTTTTATCAGCATAGTTTTTTTTTCTTATTGGTATTACTAAACTCACATGCACATAAAGCAAAGGCACATGAAGCGAAGGGTGTGCTGATTGTACAAACATACACTGTGAGAACCAAGTAATCACTCCATAGCCAAAGCGCTGCTAGGATTCAATATGCACACTCCACAAATACTAGATACGCAAGCGCATTTATTAAAACTACCCTATTCTAGGAGACCATCTTGGTTACGACAATCTTGAAGCTGGAGACCATCTTGGTTATGACAATTTTGAAGCTCACTGAGACGTAGGAGGGCCACTCATGCGGCCCACTCACTAGCCTAGGTTGCCCATTGCTGATCTGGAGCCACAGACATTTTTTTTTTTTATTAGAAATGTAAAATAAAATATACCAACAGGGCACTGACCATATACTGTTAGTGAAGCACCTTCACCTTGTCTTTGCCATTCCTTTACCTTATGTCCAGTGAAGATTCTTACACAATTCCCATTCAGAACATCCCAGAGTCGTACAGTCCTGTCTGCCGAGCCTGTGGCAATATAGTTGGAGTTGGGGTGAAACCGTGTACATGTGACATCAGCAAGGTGGCCAGCAAATATCCGTAAAGGCTGATAGTGATCCGTAGCCCACAGGCTTAAAAGAAGAGAATGGTTTAAGACTAAAGAAAAAAAATGAGATCGCTAGTGAAGCTTGAAATCCTATATGTAGAGATACATGGGCTTATTACGCAGATACCTCCACTTGACCCATTTAGAGAGTTAGCAGAAGAGAAGAAAATCCTTCTCCAAAACAAAAGCAAAAGAAGTGCTTCAACTGTGGCCATTAAAAAAGTAAATGAAGAGATGCAGTAGTTTCTCCAGAATGAAGGGGCAGGGATATGCATTATCCTGTCTTAGCACCAGACGGCTGGAGAAAAAGTAACACTATCTCTTTAGGGATGCCCCCAGCTAACATTGTCTGTATATAAAAAAAGTGAAAAAGGAAACTAAAACACTTTAATTTTTAAACCAAGTGTGATGAAAACTCATTCCCAATGGGACGCGTGCTAGGAAATACCAATTACCAGCATTAAGGGGGTTACTCACTCTCAGTATGCAGATATTTGCATTACTATAAAATCCAAATAGAAAGCTCATCCAGGCAGGGGTGCCAGAATAGGGGGAGACAGGAGGTCGTGGAACCATCACACCTCCCACCCCACTTTTAACTTGCTTCCACCGCTCCTGCATTCCCATTCTTACCGAGCCACTCTGTCATGTCCACCTGATACAAAGTAATATCCATAGGGAGAGAACTGTGTATCCCACACTGGATAGTTGTGGCCTTTATATCCCACAAGGCATGTGAATGTTTGAAGGCTCCACAATCTGACAGTGCCATCCTCTGAACAGGACAAGAGGTAGTTCCTATTACAAAGTAAAAGAGGAGAAATACAATGTTTGGAACTTATTCCATATCAATTGTCTCTGAATCCAATGAGGACTTAATTCTACAGCAAATCCCACTCAAAAGCTAGCCAATGGATGGTACATTTATCACCAAGAGAGTATGCTTAGGACAGGGTCATAATTCAAAATGATCTGGCCAAACAGGATGAGGTTTAATAAGGACAAATGCAAAGTTGTTCCATTTACGAAGGAACAATCAGTTTCACACACACAGAATGGGAAGTGACTGTCTAGGAAGGTGCACTGCAGAAAGGGATCATAGTGGACCACAAGTTAAATATGAGTCAACAGTGTGACACTTGCAAAAAAACAAACATGATTCTGGGATTCACTAACACCAGTGGTGTGAAAAAGACACAAGAATTCATTCTTCTGCTCTAGTCAGTGCTGATTAGGCCTCAAATGTCCGGTTCTGGGCTAGGGATGTGAGCGACTAGTCAACTATCTGATAAGCAAATGCTTACGGGATAGTCGACACACTGGTCGACTAGTCGCTCTCCCCCTTGCTGCATCTATCAGAAAGAGGCAAACGGGGGGGAGGGAGGAGAATGGTGGGGCGCTTCAAAGCAGCAGTGCCAAGATCCACACAGTGCTACTGCTTTGAAATGCCATGTGCAGCCCGGGGCCAGTTGGGAGTCCCCAGCTGGCCTGGGCTGCACACAGCATTTCAAAGTAGCAGTTTAAAGTAGGCTTGTTTAGTTTGGAAAGGAGAAGACAAAGGGTGTCACAGGGAGGGAGGGGGGGAAATTGTTCTCCTTGGCTTAAACTACAGCAAGGGAGATTTAGACAAACATTAGGAAAAACTTCCTAACTGTCTGGGTGGTTAAACACTGGAATAAATTGCCTAGGGAGGTTGTGGAATCTCCATCACTGGAGATATTTAAGAGCAGGTAAAATAGACATCTATCAGGTATGATCTAGGTGGTGCTTGGGACAGGACTTGATGCCATCTCAAAGTCCCTTCCAGTTCTAATACTCTATGAATATTCTGGTATGCTGGTTGTACACTGCACAAACAGTGTAAGACTTCAAGTGTGTCATTTACATAATCAATTAAAACAACTTAAGATATGACTTTCAGATAAGACTGTATAATTAGCTATCATAAGTCCTGAACCTGGGAAGTGCTGAGCACCGTCAACTCCCACTACCTTCAATGGGAATTAAAAATGTTGACCGCCATGCAGCAGATGTTCTGATCTTCACAATATCAGGCCTTCACATTTTCTTGCAATGGTACCATTACAAAATGCATGTGCAAGTATGGTCCCAACTTATAGAAAAAGCTGAGCTAACTATATGTTTATTGCAACTAACATTTCATTAGCACTTAAAAAATAATATTCTAGGTTTATTGCAACTAACATTTCATTAGCACTTAAATAATATTCTAGTGAATTTCTAAAAAATTTTACCTATCAGGACTGAAGCTGGTACCATAGACAGGTCCACTGTGACCATATAAAATCTTCAACTCGCTTGCAGTTCTCTCATCCATGATCCTCTCCAAGACATCATCTGATTCTTTGTCTATGAGACTGAGATCTGTAAAATTTCAGAGGTTCTCATTTAAAACACACATGTATAATTCATCTACGCGGTCTGCCAACAATTAAGCACACTTATATTTATACAAAAATAAATGTATTAGGCAGAATACATAGTCTACTTCATACTTGCAATTAACACCAAGGAGGAAAAAAGACTCTTCTTGAATATTAGCACCAACTCCAAAACAACTAGGATGTTTAAACTAGAGTAGGTTTTGGTTTTTGACTCAAAAAGTTACATAGCACACAAACGTAAACAATTTCTTGAGCACTGTTATGAAGGAAACAGTGATTACGATGATTTAAGTGAAAACCTTTATATTACAGCTTTGAAGCATCTGAAGAGACCCTTCACTTCTGAATTTGTGATATCTTACCCTATATAACAATTGGAAAAAATTCAGTAGATGAACATTCATGTTCAGCAATGGACCATGCAAATATATTTCTGGATATAGGTATATTATTGTATAATAATGCATTTTCAGAAGACATTTTAGAATTGTTCTGAACCTTATTTCCAAATAACCATTCTGTTTTGTACACTTCACCAAGAGCATCTAGGATTAGTTCAACCATTAGATATGCCATTTCTGATCTATTCACCATTCAATCTATAATTATCTTGAAAGACTGATACTCTGTTGAAGAGCCCTGATTTCTACATCTCTCCCTAGAAGCTTTAAATTGTCACGTTTTTAAGATTTCAATAACTTTTTATTGATAACACACATGCCTAACATAAGTAGTTAGTTTTCAGTCTAAGTCACCAATTGATACCTTACTGCTTTCATCATTTAAGCAGCCTTGATAAGACTCTTCCTTTGGTACTGTGTGCCTCTACAAAACTATTACTACCACATACTAACCAGATTAAGCTTTCTGGAATACACAAAATGTGATTTTCATATTAATTACAAGTTATCCAAATTTAGTGTATGAGTCTCATAAATGTAGGGATGGAAGGGACATCAATAAGTCATCTAGTCCATTCCCACACTGCAAGTCAGGATTAACTATACCTAGACCACACCTCATTGGTGTTTGACTAACATGTTCTTAAAAACCCACAAATGAGAGGGAACCCACAACCTCCCTACATAACTAGTTCCAGTGCTTAACTGTCTTATAGATAGAAAAAGATATCTAATTTAAGTCTCCATTGTTGCAAATTAAGCCAATTACTTCTCATCCTAATCTCAATGAATATGGAGAGTAATCGATCACTGTCCTCTTTATAATAACCTTTTATGTACCTAAAGCCTATCATGTTCCTTCCTATCATCTCTACCCTAAACTAAACAATTCTTTCAATCTTTCCTCATCAATCAGGTTTTCTAACCCCCCTCATTTTTGTTGCTCTTCTCTGGACTATCCTCAACTTGTTCATATCGTTCCTAGGTATATAGGATGCAATATGTAGAATGTATATTTTAGATGTTGGGATACGTGGAAACATGCTGGCTCGTCTAGCAAAATAAGAAAACAGTCACAGTGTTGGGATACGTGGAAACATGCTGGCTGGTCTAGCAAGATAAGAAAACAGTCACAGAGCAATCTGATCAAGTAAACAACTGAGTTAGCAAATTAATCTGAAACAAAAATTAGTCTGTTTTGTTTCAGACCAATTCCACAAGCCAAATACACAGAGAAGGATTGGAACTCCACTTCATTCTCAAGTTTAACTCTCATGCAAATGGTCTAAATCACAAAACCAACCAACCAATGAAGGTGCTAACGGTTCTTGATGTCTGTGTATTTTAAGTTTTTCCTGTTACAGACTGTCCTACTGCGAGCTATGCAGCACAGGTTCTGGCATTAGCTCCCTGTCCAATGATCTCTCCCCCCTTCAGTTTTTTTCCTCCTCTCCCCTCCCCTTATTTATTCTTGGTTCTGGACTTCCAACATTCTGGTCATCTGAAGAAGCGGGCTGTGCAAACGAAAACTCATGATACCAGCTACATATTTTGTTAGTCTGGTAGCACATTAAAGACTATGTTGTTTTTTAAGTTTTTAAATATATGTACATGTTATCCACTTTAAAAGCTTAAGTTCACAGACCCTTGACTACTTCCAACAATTTAAGAAAGCTATTGTGACATTAGCATTTTTCTGTGCACAGACTGCATAAAACTATCAGAGTTAATACTTAAGATAAGTATGTCTTATTGTCTTCATTACCTGCTGCTGATTTCACGCTGCGTAGCTTTTTTGGTGTCACAGACCATACTCTCACAGTGGAGTCGGCAAAACCTCCTACAATCATGCTGGAGTCATCAGTGGTATCCACTGCAGTAAGACCCTGTACACAAAACAGTCACTTTATTTTGAGCTTTAATGTGGGGAGGAGGCATATAACAAAGTTCAAGCAGTAAACAATCCTGCCATTAATGTTAAAATAGTATTAATTCCCATAGTTCTTCATAAGCTATGGGAATGATTCTAAGAAGACCGGACAAAAAATACAAGTATATGAAACAATAACTATAGCTAATATCACTAAGCCAGTTAAAGATATTTTATAAAAAGAACCATTTAATAAGCCACACCAACCCTGTTCCCCAGCACTGTAGTACACAGTATCTGCAAAATTCATGATCCATCACTCACTGTTGTAAGGAAACCCCTGCACCCCAATTAAAAAGTGAAAGGAAAAGGAAACCCCTGCACCCCAATTAAAAAGTGAAAGGAAAGAGAAGGAATGTAGAAATGCCTAAACAAAACGAGTGCAGCATTGAGATAGTCTAAGGAAATCTTTAAACAGAGCTTCCCTTTATATAGGGTATTAAATCTAAACTTTCAATTGCATAATACTTTATTGAAATTAGCTACAAAATTGCTTGTTTCAACCACTAATTTTCTGCTATAACATAAGCACCTTATTTCCTCTCAGTAATCTGTATCAGATCTATTCAAAAGACTTCTCAGCAAGGTCAGCGTAAGATATAAAAGCTTGGCCCCAGACATGTAAGTGCTTGTAGGTTTCTGGTCCCAATATTAATTGAGAAGGATCTTTACCAGACACCAAAGTGACTATCTTAATAATTGATTCAGCCACAGCATTAAAACCTTAGGTTTGAATTTTCACTGCAGAACCACATTATGGCTTCCTTTTTCCTTCCCTCGGATATTTTGCAACTTTTCCCTCCCTTTTTCATACCACCCCAGGTGCCCTTGCTTACCTGGTAGGCATTAAGGAATGTGTAGAAACAGATTGAAGGCAAATATTCTGGACCAAGACGCACACGTTTTGTGGCTTCCTTCATGTTCATTATTTTATCCAACTTGTCAGAGTCTTTTAGCTCAGGAAGAGGAATTCTGTAAAAAGAATGTATCTGATGAAGTGAGTTCCAGAATCCCCCCTGAAGGGACAGAAAAGCCTAGGCACCTCAACATTAGAATGAAAGCCAGGAGGAATATAAAGGAGGTCTGTCAGGACTAATTAAATACTTAATTAAAATAGAACTATAAAAGACAGAGATCTGTCCATTGGAATTCACTTAGGTCTATCGCAGGATAACTATGAGCAATGTGATACAGACATTAAAAATGGGTAATGTAATTCTAGGATGCATCAGGTAAGGTATCACTAGTAGTTAGGGAAGCATTACAACCATGCACTAGTGAAACCTTATCTGAAATAATTTATACAATTCCAGTCTCCCATATTTAAGAAAGATTAATTCAAAAGAGGAACAGGGGCAGAGAAGGTTTCCTAGGATGATCAGAGCAATGGAGAACCTACCTTAGAAGAGGAAAGTTAATTTTTAGTGTTTTAGCCTAACAAAATAAAGGATGGGGAGGGCAGGCAGGAGAGCTGACTGCTCTCTATAAATAAGGAATAAACACCAGGGAGGGAAGAGGAATTACTTATAGTAAGGACCATTGCTCACATATGAACAAATGGACATAAACTGGCCATCAATAAGTTTAGGTTTGAAATTACAGATTTTTAACCATCAAAGGAGTGAAGCTCTAGAACAGCTTCCCAACAACACTAATGGGGGAATTTTTTTTAAGACTGAGCTTGATAAGTTTATAGAGGGTATGGTATGAGACTGCCTACAATGGCATATGGCTCATCCACAACTGTTATTGGTAAACACCTCCAAGATGTTGGCAGGAGAGGAGCATGAGATGCCGAGAGCCATGTGTGAATTCTGTCTCAGGCTCATGGGTCTCACTCACATGTGTAGAGTCTAATTGATCGCATACTTGTGGTTGGGAAGGAATTTTCCCCCAGGTAAGTATTGCAGAGACCTTTGGGGCTTTACAACTACCTCTCAATGTGGGACATGGGAAATTTGCTGATTTCAACTAGAGTAAATGGTGAATTCTCTGTAACTTGAAGTCTTCAACTCAAAATTTGAGGACTTCAGGAACAGTTATGGGTGAGGTTCCGTGGCCTGCAACATGCAGAAGGTCAAACTAGACGATTGTGATGGTCCCTTCTGGCCTTGAAGTTTATCAGTCTATAAAGAGGGTAAAATGAGGGAGGGGATCTGATAACCATGAATACTCAAAGGATGTAAACAGGAAGGGTGGTGAGATATTGCTTAGAGTGATCTGAAGAGGCTACTGAGTAATGGGATGAAGCTCTAATAGGGAAAATTTAGTATGAAAGTCTAGAAATCTTCCCAGGGGTCAGGTCTTTTGGGCTGAGTAAATCTCCCAAGAGAAATGATGGAAGCCTCATTGCTAAGCCCATTTGAAACTAAACTGAACAAAGCACTATAGACAGTGTAAGGAACAATCCAGAATTGATAAGGAATAGATTAGATTTATCAGGTATTCATGCCAATTTCGAGGTTACCTGTTTTGTGGAGGAGCATTAGGATCTTGCTTTTTACTTTTTGATCCCATACTATCTCTTTTAGGTTTTTTCTTCTTTGGTTTTCCTTCCTCATTTTCTCCCTCTTCATCTTCATCATCCAAAGGCACCTCAATCTCTGGTTCTTTTAATAAGCCAAAGAAAACCTACAACCCAAGAGAGGAGTTAGTTCCATTAAAAAAAACAACAACAACTCCTTTGCATTATTTTTGTCAATGAAAAACAATCCTTAAATAGAACATGTTTAAGTAGCAGCAAATTAATGAACAGTATCTAGCCTTTTTTAATGTAATAGATTAACAAAATGTAACTTCACTTCTGATTAGTTTAAACAGTTTGTGATACTTACTGTAAGTGCTACTTTTAAATATCATACTACTGGGCAACTGGCAGTGAGAGATGCTGAGCACCATATATTTATTTTCATGACCTTGCCAGAGGATGTTGTGAGGCCAAGATTGTAACAGGGTTCAAAAAAGAACTAAGTACAGTCATGGAAGATTGATCCATCAATGGCTATTAGCCAGAATGGGCAAAGATGGTGTCCCTAGCCTCTGTTTGCTAGAAGCTGAGAATGGATGATAGGGATGGACACCTGATGATTATCTGTTCTGTTCATTCCTTTTGGAGCACCTGGCATTGGCCACTGTCAGAAGACAGGACACTGGGCTAGCTGGACCTTTGATCTTACCCAGTATGACTGATCTTATAGCCAGACATGTAGCCAGTGGCAAAGCCAGTATAAGAATTCAAAAGCCAGCCTTATGTTTAGTCCACTAAACAAGCTTGTATCTTCCAGTGGTCTGATGGCAAAGGGAGCCCTCTGCTTCAAAGCTCAATTCCCCACCTTCTACCATCATCATCCCAGATGTGCTGACAGGACTCAGATGCCAAGAGTTCTATTTATATTAAGGCAATGGTTATATCCCCTTCAAACTATTCTACATTCTGTAACTGGTATTAATAGGCATTAAAAGGATTTGTCTCATACCTTTGCTTTATTAGCCTCCCGTTTAGCCTCCCCTGCCAAGCTTCCCACCATGGCATCAATCTGTTGTTTACTGCGAGGCATTCCATCAAAGATATCGATGTAGAGATGCTCCTGAACAATGTTCCAGATTTGATTGTTCTGTTTTTCCTGAAGGTGTCTCTTCAAGAGCTGATAAGAGTCACGAGAAATGCGCAGGACAAATTTGCTTGTTCGGAAATCCAGCATGGTCTCATTCCCTTTCATGTGTTCCTTTTTGGTTAAACTAGACAATACACGCATGTCATCCTGATAATAACACTCTTGATCCCCATGAAACCTATTAAAACATGATTTTAAAGAGACATTAAAACATATGAATCACGGTTTATCTACAATACAATCTCCCAAATACCCACAAATTGTATACTGCTTAGTAGTACATCTTAATAGCAAGTAATAACATATCTCTATACAATAACATACCTCTAACATATAGGATAATTTCACAAGCGAAATGACTTCTGGAGTGGAATGCTGCAGCCTTTGACAGCACACAGTAACAGCACCCAGCAGTTTACAACAGGAAGTGCAGAATACATTTCTAACAAAACTGCAGTGAGAGTTTCAAGTTGGCAAAATGTTACCACCAATATTTTTGACCAGGCTACCTGGACTAACACTATTACCCTGAGGAAAAATGTCAGAGGGATCTTTAGAGATCACAAATGATGAGCATCTCTACTGTGCGCTAAAATGAGCTAATTTGTTGTATGTAAATCAGATTTACATTTTCAGTACAATTTTCATATCAGATTGCTAAATTTAATAAAAACATACATTTTTTCCAATTGCACACAAATCAAAGTGATTCAATGCTTACAAAGTTAACCTAAAGATACAGATCACTACTATGCTTTATTGATTTACTAGAGCAATTAAGTTTGCACAGCAATTTTTATTTACAAGTCTCTGGGGAAAAGTACCCATTTGGGCTGAAATATTTCAAGCTTGATCTAAATCCAAAGATAGCTATGGTGGAGTGGAGCCAGTTAGGGAAAAATGCAATCATTTTTCAGACTTTAGAGTTTAAGAATTTTTGGAAACTTACAAAAATAGATTAAAATATCAAACTCTGCATGTGACTCTGCAACCCTCCATCAACCAATCCCAGTTCCTGAAGAGAATGCATGACCACCGCTAGCCTACTGTAAAGATTATCTCCAAACTGTATAATTGTAAAGCAAAAGAGATGTTCTGTGCACTTCTGCTATGTCTGGGACTAAAACATAAGGAGTTGTACAAGACAGTTTGCAACATTACAGTGTGCCACAACTACTGTTCTTTTCCTCTCTTCAATCTCCTTTTCATTTAAAAAATAATAATTAAATTCAAAAGCCCGTGCTAATAGATTTAACCAGACAAAACTGAGGACATTAAAAAAGGATGCAAAACACATGAATGTAAACATATTACTTTTCAAAGAAAGACTTTGCTTCATTCTCATGCTGGTTGTAGACCAATTCCAAATACATATGCACAAAGAGAGGATAAAACAATTGGGATAATTCAGCCCGATGACAGTCTAAGGCACACTCAATAAAGTGCTTCAGTCCACTGTAGTATTCCTCATACAGCGCTGGGTCTCCCTGCTGCTTGTAGGCAGACAACACTGCGCTCACATCTGGCTGCTCTTCTACAGGAACACCTCCTCCAACTGCAAAAGTATAAAGAGTTTATGTCTGATATGAAAGAGAGTGCATGCAAAAATACAATGGCTAACATTTGCCCTGTAATTGTAATGCACATTGAGCACTCAAAATAAAATGGGCTGTGTACGTACTGTAAGCCCATTTGCAAAAATTTTCCAAAAAACTGCTTAACGTTCAAATCATGGGAGTTCACCAAATTTAAATTTGAGACGGAAGATATATGAATTATAAACTCAACGTGCAATTCTTCCTATCAACTTCCACTGAATTTTTGTGCTTCACTTGCTACCTGGTTCCACTTAATCTAGCTTTTGTAAATGACTAAAGGCCTAATTTTGCTAAAAATATGTTTCTAAGAAAAAAGCTATTAATAGCAGAAAAACAAGTTTTCTTCACTGGCGTTATTAAAAACACGTAGAAATAAGAAGTATTCTCCCTGTTTTACAAAAGAAAGGAGAAACACTAAAATCCTCTTTTCTTTAGAAAGAGAAAGAGAGAGTATGTCTGTGTGTGTGTTATTCTACGTTCAGTAGTGTTGTGACTCAGTACAACTCTTCCTCCTACACTGGATCACTATTCAATACAGAGTCCTGTTCAAGGTCTCTTCTGTGATAGCCCAAGTTTTCCAGAAAATTGGCGGATGCTATCCTATTCTCCCTCCACATCTTGGACCTCCCATGACAGCTGAAAACTTTCAGCAAAAAGAGAAAGATTCTTGGATGTAAAACACCAAAGCTAGCACAGGACCTGGGCAATCAAACTCATTCCCACAAGAGCTGAATAGTGGCTATAGATCTAACCACTTTCAGAAATAAAGAACTAATTTAAGTCAATAAAAAAATCTAACCACTTTCAGAAATAAAGAACTAATTTCTTTGACTTATTTAATAATTTAAGTCAATAAAAAAAAAATCAACTTGAGCTGCATCCCCACATGCAGACATGCATTAAAACAACAATAGGTGAATTACAGCCAACATAGTTTTTGTTTGTAGTTACAATGTACAGCATCTCCAAAAATTGGACAGTTCAAATAGTAATGGCTTTTTGTTCACTTCCTAGTGACTCCATTTATCATGGGTTGTTACTTTTTAACATCAACTGTCCAAGATAGTCATCCTATTGAAACGTGTGCACAAATGCATCTTCTAATATCTATCATCACAGTACCTAAACACTTTCAGGCTGTAACATCATCCCCACAAAACCCACAGGTTGGTGCTAAAAATTTCAGGGTTCTTTTAATATTCCCTAAAGGTTGCTCACAAAACAGCTCTGCTAAGAAAGTCAGCATTATGGCATGGATATCCTGACGGGGGGGACCCCTGCCTAGAAATAAAAGCACATAAACCCCCCTCCGTTACTGCCCCTTGTCTACGTGGTTAACTCACTAGTAATTCTCCCCACTCTTTCTGCTGCCCAGGGATTTCCCTACCCCCCCCCTATGGGGATGTATACCCCCCTGAATTTCCCCAACACCCCCCCAGTTTTGTGAACTATAGTGCCATACAGCCCACCTTCACCCTCACGGTCTCACCCCTCATCGGCCCTGACACCCCCCTCCCATAAATTTGAACCCCCCCTAATTTCAATTCCTGGGGAGGCTACTGCTGCTGCCTTCTTCCAGCTGCAGTAGATGCCCTGGTTCTTAGTAACCTCTCCGGGATGATCAGGCGAACAGACCCCTCATTTATAAGGTGACACCCCCATCCTGGCTGAGGCTCCCGGTTCTTAGGAACCTCTCCGGGGTGATCAGGCGAACAGACCCCCCATTTATAAGGTGACACCCCCTTTTATAAGGTGACACCCCCATCCTGGCTGAGGCTCCCGGTTCTTAGGAACCTCTCCGGGGTGATCAGGCGAACAGACCCCCCATTTATAAGGTGACACCCCCTTTTATAAGGTGACACCCCCATCCTGGCTGAGGCTCCCGGTTCTTAGGAACCTCTCCGGGGTGATCAGGCGAACAGACCCCCCATTTATAAGGTGACACCCCCTTTTATAAGGTGACACCCCCATCCTGGCTGAGGGTTCTTAGGAACCTCTCCGGGGTGATCAGGCGAACAGACCCCCCATTTATAAGGTGACACCCCCTTTTATAAGGTGACACCCCCATCCTGGCTGAGGCTCCCGGTTCTTAGGAACCTCTCCGGGGTGATCAGGCGAACAGACCCCCCATTTATAAGGTGACACCCCCTTTTATAAGGTGACACCCCCATCCTGGCTGAGGCTCCCGGTTCTTAGGAACCTCTCCGGGGTGGTCAGGCGAACAGACCCCTCATTTATAAGGTGACACCCCCATCCTGGCTGAGGCTCCCGGTTCTTAGGAACCTCTCCGGGATGATCAGGCGAACAGACCCCTCATTTATAAGGTGACACCCCCATCCTGGCTGAGGCTCC